AAGGAGAACGCGATAAAAGAGAAAGAATTCCCGTTGAAAGATTACGCAAGCTCGCGTGGATACGTAAAAAATATGATAAACAATACTTGCCGGTCGCTAGTATCGTGCGAAGGTACTCAAACCAGAGACAAGAATCTTTTTTCCTTTTACCGAGTCAGCGCTATATTCACGCTATGCGATAATTAGGAAACGATTAATTTTCTTTCCGCGCTACGCAGCTCGCTCTTTACAAATAACTTTTGCTACGCCTGCCCTTATCTGACGAACAAAAACATGTTACCTCCATCACGGAGCACGAATCGCCCGCACGTCTAACTTCTTGAGAAAGCCTCATTTAACAACTGCGACTTCCGTTTTTTTAGAAGGCAACTTACTGGACAGTTAGTCGATACGGTAGTACCTACTTTAGATATTTTGGTGTGTCATGTGTATCACGAATAAATTAATCGTAATCATGATGTAATAATTACCCTTCAACATTCTTAATTCGCAATCGATAATGCTGTAGGAAGACTTGTATAAAATTCTTGAAGGCTTTATTTAATCATTGTAATATATTAAATTAACGCCCAGTTCTACCAATGTAAATTAATTTTAATCTCGGTTTATTTTTATGCTCTTTATCCTTTTCTAAAACTAGAAAAGATAAAAAATAAGATATAAACCAAAATTAATCTATAATGCATTGATAGAAACAAATCTAACAAAAAGATTCTAAATAAAAATGTGTCCGCAGGAAAATTTTCAAAAATATAAATATTTTCCAAGCTCTTACTTCATATCTATTTTCGATCTTGTTCGGTCTATAAAGATATCTTTTCGGCTTTTCGCACACGTGTAATGTAGGGCACGCGATCTCGTTATACGAAGCTGTGCGAGGAAATATTCGCGTTCCACGGCATATTTCCGACAAACTTGGCGGAACGTCGGCGGGAACGACGAGAAAAATAATGCTCGCCTGAACTTCATCCCTGCATGTAGGACCTATATCCTTGTATGCAGGTGTAATCTCTCTTACCCTTCGGATTGTACGAGCGACTTACCATGCTCAAGGCTCAGCACGTTACGCTCACTTACTCATTATTACACACTGCATGGCAACGTGATTTATGTCTGAAATAGATCTGTGTAAACTGCAGCGTGTGAGTCAGTATCACTTTAAGAATATATGACTAAAGATTATGGATTTAGGTCGCAGTCTGGTGATGAACTGAGCGTGAGTGAGACAAACGGATGGAGGCACTTCTAATGTACACAGATTTTGAGATTTTTCAAAGTAACGGAAAGATTTTGCTGAAAAATTTAGTTAAATAGGTTTGAAAATAATTTTGTTTGGACCATCAAATTGATTTTTAGACCTGTATCTAGCTAAATTTTTAAATACCTCAATAAAATTGTTCTTTTCTTATATATTTTAATTGTTAATATTTATTGCCAAAATTTAAGATATAAATAGCATCTCGTGTGGTACACATTATACATTTCATTATTATTTTCTGTGTACATACATAATAAAATTATAAATAAATCTCAAGACCTAATTAATCATCGTTTGTGATTAATTTGAAATATCAGAATTTAATGTAAAAAAATGCTTCATGTTTCTGACTGAAACTAATACGTTCTTTCTTCAATTACAACAATAAAAACAACACTTTTGAAGTATTCAAATAAACATTAATAAAGTTTTAAAGTAATATCATAAAATGCTTCACACATTTGTATCCTCATTTTACTCTCACAAAACTCACTTCTAAAATATCCAGCAATTTGGACGCGATTCCGTAATTTTCGGTCAGTGACATTTCGAAATTAACGTAATGGAACGATATTTCGATATGATAGGAATGATCGAACAAACGATAAGATTTCATCTCGCGGCGCGTCGGTGTGTTTGCTGGAACGCGTCCAAAGTTTCTCCAAAGTTGCGTGGGGGGCCGTGGTTCCCTCTTCTTTCGATGTCGCGACACCAAAAGTGGCATTGTACGCGTCTGAGACCACCAAAGAGTGCAGTAGCACGGAATGACGACGAGTTCTTTGATCCTCCCTCGAAGAGGCTGCATGCCGTTTAACGGGATTACCCCGCCCCGTGTAATTGCTCGTGAATGCGCAGATATACTCGCGACAATGGGTACACGAATTGATGGGACCTCGTCGATTCGAGGTGACGTGAAACGAATCACGATACAATATGCAAGATCGATCTATAAAAACAATGCTTAATAAGTTAACAACATTTTCACACGGAGTGTACTTTCTGTTAATTCGCATGACGTATTTATTATTTAAAGGAATTTAAACGATTGTTTAAAAAAGTACTCTCTAAAAGTGAATTAGTGTATTATTACTGATTACATCAGTTATAAGTGTAGCACTGAAGTCATCAGCGAATATTTACTGTTTTTCGGTAATAATACACTGATTCACTTTAGAGGTTGTGATTTTCTGCAGATTCAATCTGTAGAAACCATAACTTCTCAAAATAAATCAGTGTATTATTACTGAAAAACAGTAAATATTCGCTGATATTACAGTTATAAGTGTAGCACTGAAGTCAGTGATAATACACTGATTCACTTTTAGAGAGTAGGTGGATTATAGATTCGAAAAATCATAATTGAAATTTATTATTTGTAGTAAGAATATTGAAAAAAAAATTATTTGTTGAGTCCCTCAAAGTTGAGTCCCTAATATTTATATTTGATTCCTATAAATATCCTTATATTTGATAAATTTTCCATATCCATCACTAAATAAAGAGATGGAACATAACCCTCGAATAAACATAGATGTAGAAATTAATAAACAATAAAAGTTCTTAAAGAATCTGTTTACATTCAACATTTGAAAAATCGTTTAAAACTTAGAACCTCAAAGAACATTTTAGTTTCTTATTTCCAATTGCTTGCAAGTTAAGAACCTTGATATCTCAACATTTTCGTCAAGAAAAAGCGATACTAAATTTATCGAAGAAGCTATAAATAAGAATTAGAGATACTTTATAAGAATAGTAGTGTATCATAATAAGTTTTCCAAGACGATAACAGATAACGGGTTTAGATAATTCAACAGATTTCGCACCATTTATTATCTATATTGTAAATTTGATGGCGCTATCATCAGTGATACCCGTTGTACATGCTGTCGATGAGATCTCGATCGCGGTGTCAGAGTTTGCGTTAGAGAAACGAACGCGACGGCACGAAGCCCCGCGGCTACACTGATTGCGGCGGACCCTACGACCCGTACAGACCCGGGAACGCCGTCCCCGACCGGCCGGGACCCTCATCCAAGGACGTACCCGCTTCCCAATCAGAGACGAAATCAGATTGTTTAACACAGCGGACACCAACTGCTATTTAAAGGCAGCATCTGCCCCATGGGGCTTGCTACATTCCGACGCGACGACGTTCTATCATGGAAACCGTTGTCGAAAATGTTATCATTATGGGGGAGCATCATTCGCATTGATTCTTCGCAAATCGATACATATTGGTGAGAATATAAATGAGAACGAATATTTCTTACAGTTCTTAACACTTACAAATGACTTATCACTATCTTACAACTATCCAGAATCGATTCGATTTTTCTTGAAATATATCATTAAATACAAAAATATAAGAGATACGTATTTTTTTATATTAACCCAATCTCAAATTTAAGGGGTGAAACCCCCTCAAAATGAATGGGTATGGAAGTATTTTCAAAATATTAAATTTTTGAAAAATCCAAATACACAGTTCTAAAATATTTTTCTATATCTCATCGTTTCGTTGATCATTGGAATCAAAGCAGTAGTTTTGAGGGGTTGTTTCATCTTTTAAATGTAAGATTAAGTTGATATAAAAAAAAATACGTGTCTCTCTTAGATTTTTGTGTTAACAACATATTTCAAAGAGAATTGAATCGATCCGGATAATTGTGACAGGACATTTGTTAGTTAATAATGTCTATTGTCTCTCTCTCTCTCTCTCTCTCTCTCTATGAAATAAATGAAAAATGTTATAATCAAACTATACCGCTCTAATTTGCTTTTTAATTTTCTTTAAACAAAAATAGATGTTCAGTTGAAAAATTCAGACAATACAACATTATTAGCTAAATAAAATTTTAGCAATTAATTTTCAATTCTTTATCACTTAAATAAAATTGTAACATAATTATAATATGCTGCATTTATTAAAAAAAAAAAGTAACATAAATAACTAATAAAATATTTAAAAATGATTTTGAAGCTTATAAAATTTGAAGAGTGTTGAACCGTAAAAAGTGCGGAAATAAAACTTGTAAGTATATAAATAAAATGCGCATTGACGCATACGTTAATGACGTGACGGTCTTCGAGCCAATTTGGAAATATTGCGATCCCACTGATTTTCGAGTAGAGCCAACCGACTGACCTTTGCAGGCTATCGCCTGCGAGCATGTAACGAGCCAAAATTAAGGGGCATTGTACCCTTAAACAGATTGCACACGTCCGTGCGTGAACGTGACCCCTAGGCTTCTCGGACGAAAAACGCTCGCACGAAGAGGGAATCCTCGTATGATAAGACGAAGAGAGGAGGCCTACACTACGACGGGGATGACACGGCGACGAAAACGAACGGGGAGATAAACGTACACGTAGCACACTCAGCTCCGTGTGTTTGCCTACACGGAAATCCTCTCTAACGGATTCTAACGCTCGACCGAGTTTGCACTTTTTCATCTTCGGACCGATAACTTTCCTCCCGCGATCGAAGTATTCTCGAGCCACCGCTACACGAAAGTGTTCGGAAATCATCTGGCATCTCCTTCGACAGATAATTACGCGTCCGTAATGATGGAAACTACGGTTCAGACTGAAATTCAAATGAATCGCGCAGTCATACTTTACTGTTTTATTTGAATCCAGATCTTTTTTTATTTCTTAAAAACGAATCATTCATCCTAGATATATTTCTTCCTATAAAATTTTGATGGGGAGTAATGCATGGATGCGAAACATCCTGTTTCAGGCTATGGAAGCAGCTTATCAAAGACAGCACTGGACACGCACAGCCATCTCAGGCAGCCTGGTATGTAGTAGGTAGATATTTTTGAGAAGTTAAAGCGTTCTCTCATTAACTCCATCTAAAATGAATTCTAGTGAGATATTCGAAGAACTAACTTAATTAAAATCTCTACTTGTCAAAGTTATTAACATAAAAATATTAATCTCTGAAATAAAATTTGACAAATTTTTAAGATATGGAATTTTTTATTTAGTTATCCCAAATTTCATTGTGGATGCAGATAGCGTGTAAAGCCCATCTCGAATAATCTACATAATTCAAAACAAAATTTCGTACAGATTTTTTTTATTTATAATTTTATGTAATTTTATATCAAACTATGTATAAATATAATTATTGTACTATCATATCTAACTTGCAATTTTTCCGTAACAATAAGATATTGGTCTTCTTTCACAGATATAATCCTTATTCTCTTCATATGTGTTCTATACTACAGCAAATTATGCATTAATCTTTGTTTTGAATTACAAATTAAATAAATCACGGCTTGACACGGCTTAAATCTAGGACTGAGAGTACAAGGTCCCTTTTCACCTGAAAAGCGGGCTTATCTATGCGATAATCGAACAAGGTCACTGTTACTTCGCGCGTCATCGATTCCTCGGAGTTTCGAATTGCGATGAGAAAAGAGCCTCGAATCCTTGGGCGTAGTCGCATCCCAGTATTTCTCCCATCAGTTCCCTCGTTCCCGGCAGATAAATGGGTGTACCGCGCCCCTTCCCATTATTAACTTGTAAGTGAATTACCGTTCGATCGAAAGGCGATCACTCCGGCACGCATTCAGCAGATTCATCGGGCGAAACGACCTTTGAGGTCCGGCAATTCCGAATCCGTCCCCATCATCCACGTCTGTCCCCCTCTCATAATCGCTCGACTTGTATTTTTATGGGGTTCATCTTGGAGTTCTCGTATCGGGACTCTTCTTTCAGACTATCGAAATCATTAAATCGGGACGTTTAACCTCCTTGTTAGAAAGTCTGTGACATTTTTTTCTTTAAGAGAAATTGCAAGGTACTTTCACTCACACACATTAGGCCTATTGTTAATCCACAATCTTTAACTATCTTAATTTACAATTACTATTCATAAGAGTTCATAAATCCATCCCATTTGCTGTATCATTTTTTTAAATAAAGTAAATATATACCATATATATAATATAAGGATCTCTAAATACAGAAAAAATATAAATCAAGACACTTCTAAACATTCTGTTATTGCGAATCATATGTTAGAATTTGATCACACGTTTAATTAGAAGAATGTAATAATATTAGATTCAGAACGGAATTATTATATCAAAGATTAATATCGAAAATCATTCATATCAAAGTTTTACAAAATAGTATTGATGTTAACAAAGACACTGAACTTTTAGATGAATATTTTAATATACTAGAAGGAATTTTAATGATTAAATATATTTATATATACAATAGCATACCGTCTGATCTTTGTTATTCATCACAGTTTATAACTAGCGTTCTTCCATTCTTGATTTTCGACAACGTTCCATGTGAAAATTATATTATAATCTGCTATATATATTTTTATAAATTTATTCTCTTTTTATTCTTTGTCTTTTTTTCTATTGATTCTTCCAACTGTATTCACATTCTAATATTGTTATATTCATCTTGTAGTGTAATCGTTTAATGTAGAGCAACTTAATATATTGAGTAATTTAATGTTGAGTAAGGAAAATACAATACAGACTGACATGAGTCTTTGGAAATTATGTTTTTGATTGGTTTTCTCGACTTGAGATATTAACGGAGTAATGAAAATGCTTCAGAATGTAGGAACGCGATGGCAGATTATGAATTACTCTTGCAATTTTTCCTTCTGGCCAATATTATTAGGATCATTTGCGACTTCTTTCATCGTTTATCTTTTTGACATTTTAATTTTTAATCATTTGTCATGACTTTTCATGTGTAATTGAATTTTATTTCTTGTAAATTATATGCGATTGAAGAAAACTTGATATTAGTTTTTCTTATTTTTAATGTATTTAAATTCACTTAATACTTTATGATATCCTTTATTTTTGCTCGTTTTTTTCTTTCTTTTTTTCTATTATTATTGTTATACGCTATATTTAAAAAATTTTTTAAATACAATTTTATAGTTACATAAAATATTTGTGTTATATTACTCAATATTTCAGAGAATAAAATTCTAATCGTATAGTTTTAAGAAAAGCTGTCTTTAGTATCCAAACTATTGCGCTTTTTCTTATATTGCAATATTGCAACGATAAAAATCGATATATCGAATCGCTTGTCTAAACCTCCGAAAAGCTTACAAGACACTCGTGTCGCCCTTTAAGCCACTCGGACGGCAGTTTCTCAAATTGAAATTATTATGATCCAAATGAATTCTATTCTATTGTGGGGTTGCGATTATGTTCTTTTGTATGGCTGTAGGGCCCTTCATGTCTGAGCGGCGGCGAGCGTCGGTGATGACGCATTGTAAAGCTTTTAAAGGGTGATACGGGGGCCCTTGAAAAACAACCGTGTAATGGATAGGTATATCCTACATGAAACTGCGAAAAATTTTATCGTTTGTGCTTATTCACAGTGTGAAAACTGAGTTTACATTTATTGGTATAAATCATGCAAACGCATTTTGCTCTTACATATAATTAACAAATTGTCATAGTATTAGGAATGTGATTTAGTTTTGAGGGTTTTGCAAGAAATGGCATTAATGTCAGTGTTGTCGAAAACATTCCAATCTATTATTTCTTAATACTTTAATATTATTCCATGATATTTAGTCGTTCACTAACAATAGACGCAGTAAACATCGAATTTATACTGTTTTAAAAATGGAGCTTTCTAAAGAGCATTTTCGACATGTGTTGCTTTTGTTTTTTAATCAGAAGAAAACGGTCATAGAACTCTGATAGAAACTTACGGTGATGTTGCTCCATCAATTAAGACGTGTGAATATTAGTTCTGTCGATTCAAAAATGGTGATTTCAATGTTAACAACGAAAACTGGAAAATGCACATTTGCAAGCATTATTGGACGAAAATCCAGCACAATTCACGTCAGAACTTGCCAGAGAATTAAATGTTGATCGTACAACACACAAGTTATTAAACGTTTACGTGATATGTTATTTAAATAAACAGTTTTTGAGAAAAAAAACCCTCAAAACTAAATCACATTCCTAATAATATATTTTGAGAAGGGAGGAAGCGATCTTGACATACTTGACTAATATCAAATTTGATCTCGTACTTGAGGATAAAATTACCTCAAATATTTACTCAAGCAATCTAATAATTAAATAAATATGAAACTTGCGAAGTATTGTGAATTTCTTATGATCCGCAGATCCCTACCAAATGTTCGGGGCGACGAGCAGTCGTCTCGCAAGCTCTGGTTCCGGACAAATACAGCTCTGGCAGTTTCTACTCGAGCTTCTGTCGGATTCAAGTAACGCCGCGTGTATCACGTGGGAAGGAACCAATGGTGAATTCAAGTTGACCGATCCCGACGAGGTGGCGAGACGATGGGGCGAGAGGAAGTCCAAGCCTAACATGAATTACGACAAATTATCGAGGGCCCTGAGGTGAGTTTCAGGATGGCGCTCTCCCGTCGCGCCGCGCCGGTTCGCAACTCGCGACAACAGCGGCGCGTTTTTCCCGAACGTCAAAATGGAAAAGCCATTAACGGACCATCATTTATGTTTTGACGAAGTTTCGGGGTGAAAGTAAATTCGTTCGATACGTGAACGTTCGGATGTTTCACGTTTGTTCGCGCGCACGTGTGTATGTTGGTGTCGCGTCGGGACTCAGGGGGTGGCGGACAAGGGAGAAATTTCAATCATCGACAGTCAGACTGACGGTAGACGTGGCTATTATTTTTCCATCAGATCCACTGATTATATTACGCGATTGCTCTTTTTGACGTTCCTTTACTAACCGTATAAGAATTCTCTGACAAGCAAGCTCATTTTTAATGTCGAAGTTGAAGACATTGAACTTAGAATTCAATTTTTTACCGCAAAATTTATATATGTATATCGAAATATTTAAGAAATAATATCAAATATACAACAATATAAGGAACAATGTACACATAATATTTATGATTTCGAAAGCAAATAATGAACTGTCTTTTTGAATCACTTATCGTTTGTATGATTTATTATCGTATTAATGCTTATATTAAATAATTTTAATTAAAATCACGGCTTTGAAAACAATACATAAATCTTTGTTTTATTTGATAAATTTTTAAGTCATCGTAAGTGTAACAGTTACAGTTGTCTCAATTTTATGGCAAATCATATATGCCAGTGGCGAATCAATAAGTTAATGAAGAAAAGTTAAAGATTTTGGAATAGTCCCAAATAGTTCCCGAAACTTAGATATTTGCTGCCCAATTTTTTAAGAGAAACCTACAGAAATATTAGCTTCAAGCTCCTGAAAATGTAGATCTATTATCATTCAACGTTAGAACTCATAAAATCTAAATAGAGCGTCCAATTTGTTTGCAGGTATTATTACGACAAGAACATCATGACGAAGGTGCACGGCAAGAGGTACGCGTACAAGTTCGATTTCCAGGGGCTGGCAGCCGCGACGCAGCCGGCGGCGGCCGATCCGGCGGCGTACAAATACCAGAGCGAGCTCTTCATGTCCGGTTACGGTCACGCCAAGTTGAACCTGATGCCGCCGCCGGCGGCGTCGGTCTCGGTTTCCGTTCCCGGCGGCCTCTTCCAATCGGCATCGAGCTACTGGTCGACGAGCCCGGGCGCCAACTTGTATGCCGGCCATCACACGGCCTCCGGACACGTGCCACCTCATCTCGGCACCTATCCGCATTACGCATGACCCACCGCCGAGCACTGGGGTGCTCTGGGCACACCGCGTTGAAATGTTTCTACCGAAAAAAAGTACGGAGCCGCATCTGCCACCGTCGTCGTCACCACCGCCGTCGGCAGCATGTGAAATCGTAAATCGCGCACCACTCGGCCCCTTATCCCGCCCCCGCAGGCTCGGATCGAACATTGTTTCAGGTACTTGCACGAATCTGTCCATATCGCGTACTTGGTTGCAACATTATCCTTTCGTAATGGATTACAAAGCAATCGCCACATTTCCAACGATTCAAATGAATGCGTGTAGCCAGAGTAAGTAGTATGACAATAAGTTTTGTAGTGTCTTTTTCTCCTGCACTTGGGGAAATATAATTAAATATGCAATCAACATGTGTGTTACCTCTCTTATATTCAATATATACTTCGTTTTGATGGTGTTCAACAACGTTCATTAATTGTTTATTTTATTTATTAAATTATTTCTCGACTCTGCGTCAAAAATATCAAGTAATATTTTTGAAAAACAGAAAATATCAATATTAAATTTCTGATTAATAAATTTAATGAAAAAATTAAAAAATTGTTGAAAGACATTTGCTGAAAAGAGAAACAATAGCGCGTGATATTGTTTCAAAATGATACAAACATTTATTGAGTTGAAAGAACTTTCAACTGACATCTCTACCGGTAGGTACACATTTCAATTGAAGAGTTTCAAGAGTGCTTCTAAATGTGAGAACACAAGATGTTTATAGTGTGTAGGAGAAGCCTACTTTGAAAGAGATAACATTAATTTAAATGAGTGAGTTGCATTCGAGTCTAGCTAAATTTTATTTGTGAACTTAAATGTCGGACCATATTTTCTGATATATAATATATCAGCTAATTATAAAAATTCAAATTTTGTGCAAAAACCACTCATATATTTATATTGAATTTAAAGGAAGTAAAGATATTTCACTGACCAATTATTAACAAATTATATACAACAGTCTAGGGCACTATCGGGTCGTAAGTAGTGACATAGCTTTATAATCGAACGTAAGTAGTAGACAACAATCACATAAATAGTAACGGACAAGCAACAGACGCAGATATTCGTTTAGCTATGCATATAATAGGAAAGAACGACTAAAGTATCTAAAAATTAAAAAATAGATTTAAAAATAATTTTATTAAATCATCAAAATAATGATGTAGGACGCTCAAATTGGTTGCTAGAATATTAAAACTCGTTACAGTATTATCATTATGAGCGCCCTACATAATTATTTTGATAGTCCAACAAAATTATTTTCAGATTTAGACTCGAATTTATATCGCATGCGAAAATCTGTAATATAATACATAACTATAGTATTTTCGTATACTATAGTATTTTTATATGCGATATTTTCCGAAAAAGTCCGTACATCCAGCTAAATTTTTAAATACTTTAGCAAAGTTGTTTCTTTCATTCATCTCTTCCGTTTTTTCCGCAGAATTTATTAAAAATGCGTATTCTTTTCATTAAGAAAAGATTATTTTATTTAGAAAAACTTTAAAGCTTCGTGTAATCATTAAAGTTTCCTGTTGTAGAAAAAAAGGAAAACTTTAATGAAGAAAAAGATTTTCCTATATATTCAAACAACAGCTTTTTCAATTTTCTCTTTTTTAATTTTTAATTTTTATTATTTTAATGTAATATTTATATAATACAGTGATTTCTTCACATTTATTTGTTAAGTAATTAAAACAGCAGAAATAAGACATGCATATTTACGCGAGTAATATGACGCGTTTGGACAGATTAAACATCGAAATCATGCGATATGGTTGTCTTAACAAAGTGCAATACCTAAACAAGCCTAAATAAGACATCGTTGCAACTTTTTCAGTGCAATGCCTAAACAACATGTAACAATCAGTGATTATTTACGCGCCGCCATACAAAGGCGACTCTGGTGTAATGATTGCGCTACGGACTCTAATTCGCGGCCGACGGGGTGCGCTCAGAAAAGAAAAAAAAAAGATTATTGTAAGAACGTTGTACATACAGTATAATGCATTACGTTAGAACAGGGTGTGCGTCCGTGAGAAAATTCGCATGAATCTGTTTACCGTTATCGTGTTGCCGCAAAGAACACACGCGCATCCTTGGATGAACTTTATCAATTTAAAAGCTTGCGTTTAAGTTAAGCGTCTGTCTCTCAATGATTTGCCAAATATCTATACCAAAGAAAATTAGCTCCCTTATGGTTTGCAGGTAGTATATTAAGTGACAAAATGTAATTTAAAACTTGTTATGTGTATAAACATTATTTCTTTAATATTCATTTATCATTCTTCGACATCGTTTGTCATCTTATCTAGTCATGCATTTAATGGCCTGCGTTCAGCAGAAAAAGCAGCTTTACAATTGCTTTAAAATTCTTTAACGTGATTGGTTTATACATTTAGATCCAGCGAAAAATTAAGGATAAACAAGAAACATCCAGAAAACACAAAGTAGCAGTAATATAATCAATTTTATAATTTTACACTTAACAATATAACTTTGTTACGTACAACGCGTTATTACGTACAACGCGTGTTATATTATATTTATATTGTTAAATGTGAAATTATAATATTGATGTTAACTGTTAATTGGTGTTTATTAGGCAATCATTTTAAAGAATCTGACAGCAATTGTAAAACTACTTTTTCTGCTGAATGCAGCCAATGTTTTATTTTTTTTTTTTTTATCAAAGTGTGCATCAATATCATTCGCGAAGATGTTAGTCAAAGAGCAAAATATGTAATCGCATGACGGTAAATTGAACATGCGAAATCGTTTGGTCCAAGGGAACGTGAACTCGTACGCGAAAGGAGCTGACAAAATTCCACGAGCATCGTCGGCGTTTACAATTGGATTAAATCGGGCATGTGTACATTAAAACGCATTAAAATCTGTCGATAATGAATCACAATTTCAAACGAGGTCCTCGCGGCTGTTTGCTCGCAGAATGTACTCATGTTCGATTCAGACCAAAGCTGATACGTGTATCATAAACTCTTTTAACTTATTTGTTATGTGAAGAAATGGGTAGAGATGCTACATAGAAGCAAATCAAATGATGGGCGTGTAAGAAACGATCATCGAAGTATAATATTTGTACATTTATTCAGTCAGCATGTCGGTGCTTGCTTAAGCGTGAAAATCGCTCGTTCCTTTGATGTAATTTTACAACGAAACCGCGTTAACCGTACATTCTCATCATCCGTCATCGAGAGAGGTAGACGATAATAAAAAAGTACAACGTTTAAGTCATATCAATTGACGGCATACGCAATCAGAATCGAACTTTCACCCCATCTTTTTTAAAAAATCACGTGAAATATGTAGCCACTCTACCCATATCGAGACGAAGGATGGATTGCCGAAACCGAATTCGATCCTGATCAAAAATACACAGCATACAGATTCCTACTTTGGAGCAAAAATTATCATATTAAATCATCATTTAAATATAAATGATAACTTCTAATTTATTTCCGACAAAGCAGCCTTACCCCTTATAGAAATTTAATGCTAGTATTGATCACAATTAATCACTTATTTTCAGTATTAAAAATATCGTTAACAAAATGAGTAATTAATTGGCCAATACTTAGAATTAAATTTTTACAAGCAACGAGAATATAATATCACAGTGCCATTAAACACAACTTTGTTGCATTGGGTAGCATTAACGGACATTATACTAGTTAAAAAAAGTTGCACATATTGCAGAAATTTAGATTTCTGAAGGAAAGAAAAAATTATCACGTAATTGATTTAATATTTAACCTGTTTAAAATCTGTTCATAAAAAATATTCTTGAATAATATTCTTGAATTAAATCTTATTGCAAGAACGAGCGAAGGTTTGATAATAATCTGTCTGTAAAATTGTTGCATCGTAATTAAATAAAATCATTCAAAAAACGTTTTTGGCGATTAATAAAGAAATAATTTTACGGATAATATTCGTACAAATATACTTTATTTTATGCTTAATTTTTTCGGAGTTGTCTTCTTCTTATAACATATCAGCTGAAATAGAGATCAATAAAAAAAGTAATTTAAAAAGGGGATCTAATATCAACAAAATGGATAGTAACGCAAAATCCATTCTTGGATAAGCTATTCAAATAAAAGAAGTAAAAGAAAAAAAGAACTTGCAATATAGGTCGTAAATACTGACAATGGGTGTTTTTCAGCAAAAGACACAGGTGACACAATATAAGACAGTGAATTATTACATCATTATTGTTTGCCAATGTTAAACAGAGATAAAATCATTATGTAACATTGTCCGTATCACACTAGCGATTGGAGATTGCGTCTGCGATCGTGTTTGCGTCTCTTGGCCAATCAAAAAGAAGCTATTGATCAGCAGTTCCTTTCTGATTCATCAAGAGATGCAAACGCAAATGAAGACAACCTCTAATAAAGACGTAATCGCTAGTGTGCGAATATGTAAATTTTTATCTGACTTGTATCTTGGTTGCTTATCACTAATCTTTTCTTAATAGTCTAAACTATCTACTGATACATAAAATCTTTGAAAACCGTGAACTTTAAAGAGCACAAGCCCTCGACGGGCAACCAAGAGTTTGAAAACTCGAGTGCCTCCGAGTATTTTATTCTTGTTTAACATTCGGTGAGTAACAACAAGGATAAAATGATACTCGGAGGCACTCGGGTAATGTTTTCAAACGCCTAAAAGAGCAAGAAGCGATTTTCCTTCGTGTCATATCGCAATCCTCATCGACGCGTGTCGGCAATCCTTCCCTAGAAGAAGGAAGGCGTACCTCGTGTCGGAGAGAAGCGTAACTCCTTAAGACGTATACTGTACCATAACACTCATAAGTGGCCCTAAGCATTCCTAGAATAATTTTAACGATTAGCGCGGCCCCCGAGACGGCCCGTGGGACCGATCGTGCAATCGGCACCGCGACGGGAAACGGTTGTTATCCAGCAGATGGTTTCCGGATCGGTCCGACGGGTCGCGAGCGCGAAAGGGCGCTCATATGTAGATAGGGTGTTTTCATGTGTAGCTT